GCCCCCGCTCCCCCTGCGGCCCCCCTTCGGCCCCGACGCCTACCCCGGCGAGGGCAGCCCCGGCCCGAGCGGGCCGGCCGAGCTCAAGCCGGTCCGGCGGTTCATCCCGGACTCGTGGAAGAACTTCTTCAGAGGCAGACGCAACAACGGCTCCAGCTGGGACAGCGCGGCCTCCGACATCAGGTACATCTCGGACGGGGTGGAATGCTCGCCGCCGTCCTCCCCGGCCCCTCTCCAGCCGGAGCCCAGGTCGGCGCCCGGCTCCTACAAGGATCCTTACGGGGGATCGGGCGGGAGCTACGACTCGCGGAAGGAGGCCGAAGCCATGCTGCCCGGGGACCCCCGCGGGTCGCTGGAGCACCGCGCAGCCACCGGGCAGACCTACAGCGAGCGGGTGGAGGCCTACAACCAGCGGTACGCCTACATGAAGTCCTGGGCCGGCCTGCTCAGGATCCTCTGCGTGGCGGAGCTGCTGCTGGGCGCCGCCGTCTTCGCCTGCGTCACGGCCTACGTGCACAAGGATAACGAGTGGTACAACATGTTCGGGTACTCGCAGCCCTACGGCTATGGGGCCGGCAGCGCCTACGGAGGCTACTCCTACAGTGGACCCAAAACGCCTTTCATCCTGGTGGTGGCGGGAATGGCGTGGATCGTCACGATAGTGCTGCTGGTGCTGGGCATGTCGATGTACTACCGGACTATCCTTCTCGATTCCAACTGGTGGCCGCTGACTGAGTTTGGAATTAACGTGGCCTTGTTTTTTCTGTACATGTCAGCTGCCATAGTGTACGTCAATGACACCAACCGTGGTGGGCTCTGCTATTACCAGTTGTTTAAGACACCGATAAATGCATCTTTTTGCCGTGTAGAGGGAGGTCAGACAGCAGCAATCATCTTCTTGTTTGTCACGGTCATCATCTACCTAATTAGTGCGGTGGTTTCTCTAAAGTTATGGAGGCATGAGGCAGCTAGGAGGCACAGGGAATTAATGGAACGGGAGGTAAGTCATTTTGTGTCCACTGGGTAAGGTGTGATGGGGAGCAGTTGTAAGATCTTGCCATGCTGTAGATGGAGTCATATCAGGTGTCTTCTCTGCAGCAGGTCCGTAGCCTTTGAGGGTGAGCTTTCACCGGTCTTAACAGTGCTTGAGATCGCCAAATGAAAGGCGTTTTTAAGATGTCTGATCCAAATTCTTGGGCTTTTTTTTTTTTTTCCATTCACTTTGGCAAGGAGCTGGCTCTGTTCTCTTTGTAATACTCAGCTCTCTTCCTGCGTCAGCTGATGAACTACTTCCTGGTGCGTATTTTCCAGACAAAGGAAGCAATGAACAATGTGCTTATTCAGCTGTTCTGTAGGGTTAGGCTTAAAGCCACCTAGCATTTATTTGAAGACTGTGCTTTCAGCACATTACAGGCTAGCATGACTGACCATAAGAACATGAAATACTGATTTTTACTTTGCAAGCAAAATTCCAAACTACTTCTTTATGTCTTTTCAGCCTTCCTTACAACAGTTATCAGAAAATAATAGTAATAACAGAGTTGGCTAGATTCTGGTGTCTCAGATTTCAATCAACTTTATCTTTTTCTCATCAAGTATTTAGCACTGCTGCTGGCCTTGCCCTTACTAGAAGCATTCAATACTCACCTGGTTAATGATAAACTGTAATAGTAGAGACTTAGCCCTCTCAGCGAGAGAATTCAAAGTCATTTGTGTAAAACTTCCTTCACGTGAAAACACCACCAAGAAGACCTTAAAAAAATTAATAAAACTTAATATAGCATAAAAATTAACATGTGAAGCCTACATAAGCCTAACTTAAGAAGGGGTCAGCATTTAAGTGATTTTAGTAGGAGAGCACAAGTTTAAAGTTGCATGTCCTCTGCTCTGTGACTGTTGTCTGATTTGCAGCATTTTCATTTAACACTGGTTTCCATTCCACCATCTTGAATAACACTGAGACTCCCCTTTTGAAAGGTACATTGCAGCTCTTTGATAAAAGTTTTTAACCCACTTTTAATATGTCCTGCAAGAAAGAGGTGATTGTTGGAATTAATTATACAGAAGGCATTCAATCACTCTTCCTTGTTACAATCTATGTTCTTTTATTCCAGGTACTTAATGTTTCTAAAGGGAATTCCTCTATAATATAGGTTAGGCTCTGGAGAGTGCTGTGCAAAATAGCTGCTGGCTGAGCTACTGGTTAGTGCACTGTTGTGTTTTCTAGGCAATGAATTAGGCTGCAGAGTGTCAGTGAGTTAATATGGGCTGGAATGTGAAATAATAAAGGAGACTGGGAAGTGGATGGAGTATTTTCTGCAAGCTGTTCCTTACAGCTGTGGTCTGGGAGATCCTGTCCTTGTTCTGCGTTTTGGGTGCTTGTTTTTGTTCCACTGTTCTTAACCAGTCTTTAAATCAATTGATTTGAAAATATTCCTTATGCTAAATTTCTTCATACCTAAATATAAATGTAATTCTCCGTACAGCATGATTTTGAGAAAGTTTAGATTTTAAGACTCTGCTTTTGCATACTGTTTTTGCTGAAAATAAAACTTACAGTTCTTTCCATTTTTTGATAGATGAAAACACAGTCCTCTCTTCCAGAAAAGAAGGTAGGAAATAGGATTTTATTCTTCTGTTTACTGGTATTTCCAAATGGTTGTTCTTTTTCATGTCACTATTTTGATTGACCTATCTATTTATTTACTTACTTGGCTTGGAAGAGAGGTTTAATTCTTTAATGTAGTCCAGAAAACATTCTCCTACCTAGAAGATTCAGAACAAGCTTGTAAAGAAGTTACTACTAGTTAGGCTAGGTTATAAAATTTACTGTAAATAGCAAATCTGATGACTATGTGTGCTCTTACCCTCTTCTATGAAGTTACAAGTTCTGTAGCATTTATCACAGAGTTTTGCAGACATGGCTAGAACAGCAGGTCATCTGATGGCATTGTAGGTTTTAGAGACTCTCTTTCCTCCTGGCTGGCTGCTTAATTTGGAGGAGAGCCAGTGCAAGCACAGTGGCAGGTACTCTGTGAGTTGAACTTGTTCCTGTGTCTCTGAGACTGCTCCAAAGACGTCCTTGCCAGTTCTGAAGTATCAGCAATGTTAGTGCTTCTGCTGCACGAAGATGTGGTTGCATATGCTACAAAGATTGTATAGGATCTTAACAGCAGATGTTGATTCCCAGAGAATTTATGGTGTATTTATTTCAGTCTTAAATGTCTCCTGTTAGATACTGTGAATTTCCTACCACTGTTTTCTTTGCTGCTTCAGTACTGGATCAGGATCCTTTTTTATGTGTTCCAACAAGACTCCACGTGCTTTTATTTCTGGATCAAGGAATAAATTGTGCAATAGGAAACAGGGGGAAAAGGGAACTCCAGAGAACCGAGTGATTCCTGTTCATTCACAAATCAGTTAGATATCCAAGGAAACTTCCTTAAATCATTTTTTTAAGACATACAAGACCAATCTTTCCAAGCCCCAAGAAATATTTGTCATTGGTACCACTGTTAGGACAAACTGAAGATGGATACTGTGTGAGAAACATTACTGTAACTCTTTACTAATTTTCTAATTACAATAAGGGTTGTAAGAAAAACCTATGATTTGCTTCTACTGCTGCTCAATATTTCTATCTCTGTCTTCAAATGAGTTGGGTATTTTGTGGTTTATGCATATTGCATATGAAGTAAAACTGACTTCATTAAGAATTTTTTTTTTTTCTTCTAAAACAGTATGAAAGTGATGACAGACCAAGAGAAGAGGTCACTTACAGGCAGCTTAAATCAGTGGAAAGAAAACCAGAACTACTTAATGGTCATATACCTGCAGGCCACATTCCTAAACCTATAGTGATGCCAGACTACTTAGCGTAAGTAACTTGACTTTGATGAACAAACTTAATGGAGAATACTTGAATGATGTTTTTCACTGAGCATTTCTCATATATACACCAATGGTTTTGCTGCCATGCATGTGCTATGGGAACTCATAATTTTTTATTAAGTTAATGTTAACAATAGAGAGGATGGGGGCTGGTATCAATGGCATAGAACCAGTGATATAAATAAAGAATCTTAAATTTAAAAAAAACCACCCAAACATCAAATGTTAAAGCAGAATGTTATAATCTAGCAAATGCTATAACTGCTAAAGGAACAGAAGACCACCACACAGACAATTTAGAAAAAAATAAAATGCATGGGAAATTACTTGTGTTTTTAGCCCCTGAAATTGACTACTCTTGTACTTTCTAAGTGCTAAATCTATTAACATGCTCCTAGCCCTTTCCATGGTGAAGTATGAGATCATAAATTAATTTTTATACTATTTGCCATAGACTAGGACACAAACTGAAAGACAGGAGGTTCCACCTGAATATTAGGAAAATCTTTTTTACTGTGGGGTTTAGCACAGGTGGCCCAGATTATGGAGTCTCCATCCTTGGAGATATTCAGATACTGTGTGGACACAGTCCTGGGCAACCTGGTCTAGGTGGCCCTGCCTGAGCAGGGAGGTTGGAGCAGATGACCTCTGGACATCCCTTCCAACCTCAACCATTGTGTCATTCTGTGATTTCAATGCTTTACATACATGCAAATTTCAGCAGGTTATGAGATTAGCAAACAATACAGAAATATACTGTTGAGGCATGGGGTCCATGTGTTTGTTGAAGTGCTAACTCTAAAACAAGTCTTTTTTTTTTTTTTTTTTTTTTAAAGGAAATACCCAGCAATTCAAACAAATGAAATGCGAGACCGGTACAAAGCAGTATTCAATGATCAGTTTGCTGAATATAAAGAACTGTCTGTGGAAGTTCATGCTGTATTAAAAAAGTTTGATGAGCTGGATGCATTGCTTAGACAGCTTCCTCAACATCCTGAAAGCGTATATGTAAGTACCTGTGAAATGGGCTCATGGAGAACAGGTGTGGTATTAGACAGTTTCTGACTGTCTTTAGCTAGGGCACAATGTCTTGTAATGCTGGCAGTGACTCTGTGGGAGAAAAAGTTTCCCCAAATATGTTATTTCTTCTCTGGTCATCAGTCAAGGATACCAAGTTGCAATTAAGTTGTATACATGTTTTTTGTGGGGGTTGGTTTTTTTTTTTTTCATGCTAGTAGCTTTCAAGTTTGAGTGAGTTACAGTTAACTTATGTTCACTATTTCTCAAATACAAGACTTACAATTAAAATGTTACAACTAGAATGGATTGATCAAATGAGAATTCTACTTCTGATGAGCATTTTGTAGAATTTACATGAAGTTATGGACTACACTCAAAGTGTTTAAAAATGTGTGGTCTCTCTCATTAGGAACAGGAAAGGATATCAAAAGTTCTGCAAGAATACAAGAAGAAGAAAAATGTGAGTGTTTTCAGCTTTACATTGCTAATGAATCTAGCAAAGAGAGTGTAAATAGTCAACATGTCTTACACTAGGTACAATTTGCTAACTCAGGGTATCTGTAGCTACTACAGGACTTTGTATATTTTGTCTTCTAAAACTCTGGCAAGTTAGGACACAACCCACTCCACTCATGCCAACAACCTGTTTTGAGAATAATGATTCCATTAGCCAGATGTGGGAAAAAAAACCCCACAACAGTTAAGCTGTCGTGGTTTAACCCCAGCCAGCAACTAAGCACCACGCAGCCGCTCACTCACTCCCCCCCCATCCAGTGGGATGGGGGAGAAAATCGGGAAAAGAAGTAAAACTCGTGGGTTGAGATAAGAACAGTTTAATAGAACAGAAAAGAAGAAACTAATAATGATAATGATAACACTAATAAAATGACAACAGAAGAAACTAATAATGATAATGATAACACTAATAAAATGACAACAGTAGTAATAAAAGGATTGTAATGTACAAATGATGCGCAGGGCAATTGCTCACGACCCGCCGACTGACACCCAGCCAGTCCCCGAGCGGCGATTCCCTGCCCCCCACTTCCCAGTTCCTACACTAGATGGGATGTCACATGGTATGGAATACACTGTTGGCCAGTTTGGGTCAGGTGCCCTGGCTGGGCATGAGAAGCTGAAAAATCCTTGACTATAGTCTAAACACTACTGAGCAACAACTGACAACATCAGTGTTATCAACATTCTTCACATACTGAACTCAAAACATAGCACTGTACCAGCTACTAGGAAGACAGTTAACTACATCCCAGCTGAAACCAGGACAGTATCCACCCCTTATTCTATACCATTGACGTCATGCTCAGTTCCCATACCTTTAGTTACATCCTGATCAATCATCACCACCTTTCCATCCCTTTGAGACATATGAACAATGAGATAGATAGATAGATATATATACATATAAGTATACACACACAGAGATATCAGTTCTTTAGTTCACGGGTTATGTTCATAAAATGTTTGTTGAGTTCATTTAGTTTCCGACTCTGGGCTCCATCTGTCATACCCGTCTGTCTGGGCAGGAGGGATGGTGCAAAGTCCTCTCAGTTGGTAGAGCAGAATTGGGCTTCAGTGCGGTGTGACGAGCAGATGACATTTGACGCAGCAGGAGGATGGTGTGCACCGTTGGATTGTTGCATGCTGGAGTCAGTTCTGGTTCCATCACTACTGCGCTTTGCTCAGTTTTATCGCAGTTCTTTCTTGCTTGATCCAAGTGATTCTTACTATAGTACTATGGACATAGCATGTAACAATTATAGTAATGATAACATACAGTAGCAGGGTTATATAGTAACTAATATCATACAGTTTAATTCTGGCTATTTTCACCTAAAATCAGATCCCCTTGAGGCACACATCGGACTTCTCCATCTTTTCGCATCACCCACCAAGTGCACCCAGGCACTTGAGCAAAAGCAATCCCACGAATGGGTTTACCTTTGCCTGAGGCAGGAGTAACCCAGACTGTTTTCCCTAACATATTTTTCATGTGCACTACAGGGACTTTATCCCCTTCTACAGTATGTAAAAATTCTGATTGGGCAGGGCCACTCCAATTGGCAGATCCTCTGATGTTGACTAACCAGGTGGCTTTTGCTAAATGTGTATCCCAATGTTTGAAAGTTCCACCTCCCATTGCTTTCAATGTAGTCTTTAACAGTCCATTGTATCACTCAATTTTCCCAGAGGCTGGTGCATGATAGGGGATATGATACGCCCACTCAATGCCATGCTCTTTCGCCCAGGTGTCTATGAGGTTGTTTCGGAAATGAGTCCCGTTGTCTGACTCAGTTCTTTCTGGGGTACCATGTCGCCACAAGACCTGCTTCTCAAGGCCCAGGATAGTGTTCCAGGCAGTGGCATGGGGTACAGAATATGTTTCCAGCCATCCGGTGGTTGCTTCCACTGTTTTCATCTTCTGAGAGTATGTCTCATCTCTTAGTGTTACAAGATTGGTTATTTTGGGGGATCCATTTCATTTATATTCACTGACTGACACAGTGATACAACATATATATAAGTTCACAACAGAAAACATTAGTCTTACCCTTGAAAAGAAGTTTTGTATTTTCTTTGTGGCATGGGACTTAGACTCTCAAAATGTAATTTTCAGTGTAATCTAGGAGGTTTCTCTTTGTTATTTTTAAATGTGGGCAGTAAATGTGTACCTTTGTTCCATTACAAACATAATATGTTACAAATACCTTTTTTCATGGAACTCAAATTTTGTGTCCATGTTAGTTAAACTTTATTGCTTTTTGAGGGGGAGGGATTTATTAGACATGCCACAAGGCACCTATAAAATCTAAATTACATAGTAGGATGTCATTTATATTTGCAGATTTCTGTTTAAAAACTGCTCTGTGTACTATGTAACTACAGTATATAAAAGCAGAACCTTTTTTTCCAGCTTTTCATGAAGGAACAGGAAGCAGGAAATAAGAAATTGTGGCCAGGGAAAAAGTGATTTGGGGAGAATATTTATATATTGTCCTTAATCAAGAACATTACTGATAATAGACTATTCTTGGAGGAGTCAGAACGTATAATATATTAATGTAAAGGTTTTTGTATTTTTGACAGGATCCTGCATTTCTGGAGAAAAAGGAGCGTTGTGAATACCTAAAGAATAAGCTTTCTCACATAAAACAACGGATTCAGGACTATGATAAAGTTATGAATTGGAATGTAGAAACTTAGCTATGCCTTCACTTTGTGGATACTGTTTCCTATTTTTTAAATCAATATGTGTATTTTAAACTATTTATTTACTCTCAGAACAGTACACCTATGGGGATTGCTTAATCACTTTGTCACTTATTTAGATGTTGTACTTTACTGGGAGGTTTTGTATGCAGATCCAATTTTAAATTTATGTAATGAAGTTATCAGATCAGTTTAGAAAACCTGTGCTAAAGTTCTGCTTTTATTAGACAGCACACAGCCTGGCCTGTTAAATACTATATTTGCAAACTTGCAAAGCCTAGTGGAGAAAGTAATTCTAAATACCATGTCAAAAGTTTGCACAGAAATGCCATTAACAATTACAGATTTTATTTACAGCTGACATCTTAGTGATACAGGAAGGAGTTGAGCTGTTCTTTCTGGCTGGGCTTTGGTGGAGTCCTTAATCACACTGAATAATTTTGGCAAGTCAAAAATCAGTTTAATAAGACTTTTTGTATTGTATTTCCAAATGCTCTGCTCTATGACAGAAATTATCTGGAATTTTACCCAACAAGAGATGGAAAATAACTTCCTATTTAAGCAACCATACTGTGGGGGTATTTGGTTTTAGGGGTTTTTGTGGGGGTTTTTTTTGTTCCTCTCTTTAGAGGTGATGCAACAAATTTATATATGGCCTTAAAGGAATAGAGGTACAGGATGAGACTCATGTTAGTGTTCTGTTAGTGTTGCTACAGGCCATTATGCTCTGCATGCCTTTTCTGGGTCATCTTAGTAGGAAACCTTGGGTTTAAAGGCAAAACACTTTATTCTTCATCAGCAAGTAACAGGACTTTTTGTCTACATAGCAGCTGTTTGTGAATTTGGCATTCAGAGAGTAAGTACAGCAAAATTAGTTCTCATTCAAAGTATAAATTATTAGTATCCTTATAAGGCCAGGTAAAATATCTTAATAGACATGCTTTCCAGAGCATATCTGCATAAATTCAATATACATTATTATATTTTATCTTGGGGATAGTTTGTGTACACAAACATTTTCATAAGCCAGTACATTTTCTCTTTGTATCCTTTTTCACATCTGTTTACTTTTTTACTTACTAAAATTGTTAGAAGCATTGATAGTTTCTTTGTACAGTTTTCTACAACTGCAATTTATCTGTTCTGAAATATATTTTAATTTGAAAAAAAAAACCCCACCAGTGTAGCCGTGTTATTCTATTGCTTATAAAAGCATTGTGTTAGAAAATGTGCTCTGATTAAGGTTATTTCAAATTTATGTTAGCAATCATTTTTTCTTTAAAAGAAAGTTTTCAACTTTTGCCTTAATTTAAAGGCAAGACATGAGGAAAGCTGCTTCCAGGTGAGAACAGTGATGGTAGTACCACCTGTTCTTCAGTACTGGAAATCCATTAATGTACCTATCTCTGGCAGTTATATCCCTTCTGATTTTTGAGCCCTTATCATTCACACTGCAATCCTGATAGCTACAAACCCACTTTCATATTTAAAAGATGACATTCCAATTTTATCAGCCACTTAATTCCCAGAGTTTTAGTGGGTGAAGTAAATAACACAAGACACCATGGGAACACTGAGAGAATTTGAAAACTTGGCACCTCTTCATATGGAAGCCTTCAGCCTTATCTACCTGGAGGGTGTCTCAATATTTTCATCAGTCTGAAGTCAGATGACAGTCAGTGCAATGCCTTGTTCTCCCTCTTTTCAAGTTTCTCTCTCTCTGGTTCATGCTTCTGTTCTTTTCAAAGAAGAGTAAACCTCTTTACCTTATAAAGGAGCTGGGCCAAGTGTTTTATACACATTGTGCTATATACTTGTTAAACTTTTCTTTGTAAGATGCGTCCTTGGCCAAATCCCTGCAATCTAAATGACCTCCTCTCACTGTACACACAGGTTTCTCATTTTTTCTCAGTGGGAGTTCTGGGCATTGCATCAGTACCAGGTCCAAGTTTAAGGATGTTTATAAAGTGCTAAAGAGCAGAGATTACTCTTATGTTTTCTTTGGAAGATTCACAGTCTGCACCCTTAGTAGGTCTTCCTCCTGCAGGACACTGAGACCCCGCTCCAGGCTCCCTTTGACAGTGGTCTGAGTTTCGGTCTCTGAGAAACGGGCTCCTGGCCCCGCAGACAGTGCCTGCATAGCCTCTGCAGAAGCATCGTGCTTGTCCTTTCCTGCAAATGGGTTGGGAAAAGGGGACACCATGCCTGTGGCTGGAACAAGGAAATAAACCAAGCAGAGACAGCTGTGTGTGGGTTGCTCTGTGTTTCCCAGCAAGGTGCCACAGGTGTGGCTGAGTGGATCTTCCAAAAGCTGCCGAGAGAAGATAGGTAAAAATACTCCCTTCTGCCAGCCTTTTGGGTTTCAAATAGGATTAGTGCGGTGCACGGCAGTAGGGTGTGCTGAGCATGGAGCCCCAGGAGAAGGCATTTACCTTAGCAGCATAGGAAGTCCAGCAGGGCAACATGTTGCAACCATTACAGTAAATTACTTGCTCAGTCCTGAATCTGTTAGGACCTCAGCACTGCTAAGCAGGCACTTTGGGTGCATACAATTGGTAAGCTGGTTTTGCTCTAACCCATCAATGAAACACTGAAAAGGGTCTTGTCAACAGTGCTCTGAACATGCCAAAGAAAAAATATTAGTCTAAGAAACATTTTTATCTCTTAGAGAAATTGAGATTAATGAAATAAGAATTAATGGCTTGGAGTTGGTTGGTTGATCAAGTCAAATGCAAGACAGAAATTGGGAGGAAATTGAGTGAGAATTAGTTACAATCAGAACTATCAGGGAAAGTGGTCTCTTGATATCCTTAAGGAATAGAAGCTATACTTCCGACAAAACTGAAGTCATTAGATGATTATCGGTCTCCCTAGTCTCAACTCTGTGAAACTACATTGTTACATGTATGTGTAAACTGTCTGCTATGTGGTCTTGCTCAGTGATTGGGTTTTTGCAGAAGGTAGTTAACATTTATTTGAATCTTACCAATTGCTATTGCCCTACATCAATGCGCATCCACTTTCAATTACAGCCTGTCCTCAGATACTGAGTGTATATAACAAGAACTTTTATCCTTCAGTCTTCCTCTTAGAAAATGGCTGCCTAGCTACACAGGTCTACAAAGGGAAATGTCCGAGAGACTTAACAGTTTCCAGGAATATTAATGGTTTTCAAACTAGACTTGAATAAATCAATAAAAGGGCTTTTTTTTTTTTTTGTCTTGATAGGATATCCTTGATCAAGACAACTGTGGCAACATCTGCATACTCTTTACTAATCTGTACATTTTTGCAGGGCAGATAAAGCAGTGCCTAACAAATATAACCAAAAGTTTGTATCACGTAGTAGGGTGGACTAGCTTTCATGACAGCGAATCAACTAAAAATACTTGTGGCAATGAAAAACCTAATTGATTTGAAATGGTAGAAGAAGCTATCCAGTATTTATTTTATTAATCTCAAAATTGTGGTGGGATTTGAAGCATTTGGACAATCATAATCTACAAAATGGTTGTATATCCTGCATTCCTGTCCATCATTTAAATTCTTGGCCTTAACAATAAAAAATATCCCTTTTCTGAAGGAAGTCTCATTTCTTTCTTCTATTACAATTGTCAGCTTGCAGCCATTTTTCCATTTTGATGTTTTATGAATTGGACTTTTTCCTTCTTAAGAAAGGATGGCACGTGATCTAATGGGAGTAGATCAAACTACAACTGTATTTCAGTTCCTAGAAGCAAATCTTGAATTCATAAACTCAAGAATTTCCCTTTTTCCACCTTCAGTAGTTTTCATTGCTTTCCTTCAAAATATCTGGGATTTTTCCCAGGTATGGTTTAATTGAAAGCTAATTCATTTCTCCTGTTTCCCCCATATTTATAAATTGCTTCCGATAAATGCAACAGACTGAAGGATACAGAAGCGGTGAGTTTTTCCCCACTCCTGTTTAAGGAAATGTTACTGCTGTTTAAATGTTTTCTTCCTCATTTATTGTCTTACTTGGATGCAGAGTGACACCCCTTAGAAACGGATGCTCAGCAACTTTCCTGTAATTCAAGACCTCAAACCCAGTCTTGGCACACTTCCACCGTATCCAGTAAAGTTATGATTGCTCTGCAGAGAAATTGGCTAAAATGATCTCTAGCTTAATTGAGCTAATCCTCACTGTGATGCTTATGAAATGGAAACTCTTGGTGACATGCCATCGATCAGTGCTGCTCAGAATTATGTTTTGCTTCTACCAAAAATAATCACGTAACATCAAAATACCTGAAACTTATTTGTTACCACTTTTTCTGTTTTGATGTTAATATGAAAAGATCTCAAACTCTTTCTGCACATGAAAGAGTACACTTTTGCATAACTGCATTTTTTTGCTTACGTTATGGGAAAGCAAATATTTGCAAGCTTTTAAAACTACATGTAATTTTCACTGTAACAAAATAAATAGAGACATTCGTACAGTTCTAGAACCTGCATGGAAATCCTGTTTAAATATAGATAAAAACCTTGTGGAATTACCAGAACATGCAAAATGGCTATGATGTATTCTTTCATCTGGAAAGATTCCTTACTCCCTACTATTCCTAAAATATGTGCACTTTGTTGTGGGATATTTAGAAAACAATGGACATATAGTGAACAATCCAGGCACAATGGAACTGATTATTCCGTGAGCCAGAGGCCTCTGCAGGCAGCAGGCCTCAAGGACATGGTGAAGATTAACTGTTGCTACAGATTTGATGAAGCGAGCACGAAAAGTAGAACAAGGCTAACTGTTGCTACAAAAGTTTGATGAAATAAGCACAAAATGCTGAACAAAGTTGGGCCTACGTGACTGAAAGCAGGACACAAGACAAGTTACAGGCAGGGGGAATCATTTGCGTGATCAGAAGGCCTTATCCTATCACATTATTGTTTTAGGCACGTGGACAGCACATGTTAACCAATCAACAGATGGCTTACACATGAGCAGGAACTAAAATACTTATATAAACCAAGCTATTTGGGCAATAAATGGGCATCTGCGTTAATCATATTGATTGTGTGCAGTGTCCGTGACTTCCGCGTCGACACTCTGTAGATGTTATTGGGTTTCTTCCTCTCACCCTATAACTATGAGTAGTTATATGAGTAGTTACAGTAATTTTCCTTTTCTACCACTGTATGTAGTATTCCATTCTGGAGATATAAAAAAATTATATATAGGCATGTGTAAATTAAATGTAAATTTTTTTTTTCTTTTTCACAGCAGATTTCAGATCTTGGTAGTTTTGAGTGTTTCATAGTTCTGATCCTGTTTTTCTATTAGTGAGTTTGTTCTGCTAACAAATCTGTCCTTCTGTTCCCTTGGACTCTTTCTGTTTTTTCCCTGCTGCCTCATTCTCACAAAGGCCAATCCATCCTATGGCAACATTTTGTCACCATGTCTTCTCAAGTAGTCTGACGTTAACCTATACAACTGAAAATGCTTTTCTTGTATTTAAACAAATCATCCTCTAGGTGTAACAATGTGAAGTAGTTGCTGTTGTAACCTCCTGAATGTAGGGACCACGTTGTGCTACATTTGGCATCAGCTGGTATGATACTACTGCAGAATTGTTTGTAAATTTCTGGACATAGCAAAGTAAGGGTAATAGAAGAAAGTTACTGTTACATAGTTAAATGTAGTTTTATAATCGTTACTACAGTAGCTGTGAAAGGTGAATAGTTAACACCTATAAATATATGTCCTGGTTCTGGCTGGGATAGAGTTAATTTTCTTCCTAGTAGCTGGCATAGTGTTATGTTTTGGATTCAGTATGGTAAGAATGTTGATAACACTGACTTTGCAGTTGTTGCTAAGTATACTATGTCAAGGATTTTTCAGCTTCTCGTGCCCAGCCAGCAAGAAGGCTGGAGGGGCACAAGAAGTTGGGAGGGGACACAGCCAGGGCAGCTGACGCAAACTGGCCAAAGGGGTATTCTATACCATATGACGTCACGCCCAGTATATAAACTGGGGGGGGGCAGATTGCTGCTTGGGAAGTAACTAGGCATCGGTCAGTGAGCAGTAAGCAATTGCATTTTGCATTACTTGTTTTGTATATTCCAACTATTTTATTATTATTGTTGTGATTTTTTTTCTTCCTTTCTGTTCTATTCAACTGTTCTTATCTCAACCCACAAGTTTTACTTTTTTTTTCCCCGACTCTCTCCCTCATCCCACTGGGTGGGGGGGAAGTGAGTGAGCGGCTGTGTGGTGCTTAGTTGCTGGCTGGGGTTAAACCATGACAATGTAAGAGTGCGTTTTCAGTGTGAGAAGCACAATTTTCTACCTGCATAGGGAAATAATCACTATTACAAGTGCTTTGTATTTATTCTTTGGAAAGAACAATAAAAGCCCTTCCCAGATGTATGTACTAGCCAAAAACGTAGTATTTCTACTGGGTGTTAAAACTGTGACTGATTTTCTTCTTGATGCTTTCTTTTAGTGTGTAGTCAGAGTTTTGTGTGTGCAAACAAAAGAGCCTGTTGCCCTATTTTGAAAAGCAAGTGAAAAGGAAAAGCTGTAGCTTCAGGAAGCTGTCACCTGTAAGAAATCTCCACATTACAGCATCATCTAGTCTAGACTTGTGCTATTTTATAGACCAAAAATAAACTTCTTCAAAATTTCATGTATGGTTAGAAGGCATCCAGCCCGGTATCTTGACCAGGCACCACTCTATGACACTAATCAGTATTTCAAAATCTCTCTGCTGTAATCCGTAATGCCAAGAGCTGCTGGATATGAACAAGAGTCCTTCTTCTATCTTTCTGGACACCTTTAAAAATAAATTGTATGCTTGGAAAGGAGACAAATGGTAAATTTAAAGGTATTGTAAAAATGGAACATGCACAACATTTAGTGAAAAACTACATTTCTTCTGGTCAGAGCAATTAACACACACACACTCAATGGAATACGAAGCATCCCCGACCCACTTTTTAAAGGCAATTGCCAGTTAACTGTTCACAGCTTTACAGTGATAGTTTATTAAAAGAAACCCCCAAAGAAAGCTATTGCAATGACACGAGAACCCAGCCTGAAAGGGGTGATTCTGAACACTGTGAGATCATTCTGCGCGTTCTGCAAAAACTTGTATTACTCCACTACTCAGTTTGCTCCCATGAGCACATTAAAATCACAGAAAAAATACCTTAAACTTTGCAGCAACGAATGAATTTCAAGTTCTGTGTTTTAGAAGAGCGTTAAAGCAGTGCTTTTGCTACCGAGATAATAGGCATTTATTTTCACTAAGTAACCAATGAGCACAATTATGCCTTAAAATTCGTTGCTACAGTATAGGTAAATAATGGTGTTTCTCCAGGCTCCCGGATTCTTCTGTTAATACTGAAATTACTTCTGTTAATTACAGAACTACCATGTAAACCCAGATAGTACCTTAACGCTGTTAAGCTGGTCCCTGAGTGATGAGGGAGGGCCGGTTTGACCTGACAGAAACTTACCGTGGGCTCCACGCCCACGCTGGTTGTACTCACGACGCGTTTCCGCTGCCATCCTTTTAATAATTAATGAGAGTGTTTTGATGTCGTTGTGGCAAATAGCCCGCGTTTAACTGCAGCGGCAGCAGCAGTTCCCCCGGTTGGAGATGCCGAGGGTCGCCCGTTCACGGGAGCCGCCGAGAGGCCGAACAGCCTCGCTCCCGCCTCCCCCCAGGGTCCCCTTCCCGCCTCGGGGTGAGACCGGCCTGGGCGGCTGCGCTCTCGGAGCATTTCGAAGCTCAGGGCAAGTTAAGCGCCGCACTACCGGTGACGGCCACCGGGTCCGGCCTCGCCCCCCGCTGCCAGGGGTGGCCAGGCCCCG